CACTGCAGATGGTGACTGCAGCCATGAAATTAAAAGATGCTTTCTTCTCCTTGGAAGGAAAGTTATGACCAACCTAGACAGCATATTAAAAAGCAGAGACAATCCTTTGCCAACAAAGGTCTGTCTAGTCAAGGCTATGGTTTTTCCAGTGGTCATGTATGGATGTGAGAGTTGGACTATAAAGAAAGCTGAGTGCTGAAGAATTGATGCTTTTGAACTGTGGTGTTGGAGAAGACTCTTGAGAGTCCCTTGGACTGCAAGGAGATCCAACCAGTCCATCCTAAAGGAGATCAGTCCTGGGTGTTCATTGGAAGGACTGACGTTGAAGCTGAAACTCCAACATTTTGGCCACCTGATGCGAAGAGCTGACTCATTTGAAAAGACCCCGATGCTGGGAAAGATTGAGGGCAGGAGGAGAAGGGGAAGACAGAGGATGAGATGGTTGGATGGCATCACTGGACATGGGTTTTTGGGTGGACTCTGGGAGTTGGTGATGGACAGGGGGAGGCCTGGTGTGCTGTGGTTCATGGGGTCACAAAGAGTCGTACACAACTGAGTGACTGAACTAACTGAACTGATTGACATTTCTGGACTGCTAGCATCTTAAACTCCAAGTGTGAGGTACATGGTGAGGGGGTGGAGTAAGAAACTCATGTCTGTGTTGTTGCTCCAGTTCATAGCTGGTCTGCCACCTTCTCTCCCATCTTTTGGATTTTCCTTATGTTTGTTTGATATAGAATTTGAAAGGTTTTTAGTTGTACTCATCAAGAAATATAGGGGAAAGTATGTATATTTCACTTTTGGCCACACTGGGTCTTTGTTGCTGCATGGGCTTTTCTCTAGTTGCTTCAAGCAAGGGCTACTCTCTAGTTGTGGTGCATGGGCTTCTCACTGTGATGTCTTGTTGCAGAGCATGCAGGCCACAGTAATTGTGACACATGGGTTCAGTAGTTATGACTCCTGGGCTCTAAAGCACAGGCTCAATAGTTGTGGCACACAGGGTCAGCTGCTCTGTGGCATGTGGGATCCTCCTGGACCAGGGATCAAACCCGTGTCACCTGCTTTAGTAGGCGAACTCCTTACCACTGAACCACCAGAGAAACCTGGTGTCTAATGTTTAATCATTGCTCTTTTCTCAGTTCAGTCATTCCATCAATCAATTTTAAAAAAGGGTAATTGGGAATGGTGGAGGGAGAGAGTCAGTAGGAAGGGGTAGAGTGACCAAGAAATTGGGATTGGTTTTGCCAGTATTTTATTTAGAATTTTTGTATCTGTTGATAATGATATTGGGAAATAGCTTTTCTTTTTTTCTAGACAAGTTTTAATATCATAAAATGAGTTTAGGGGGTACATCAGGCATCCACAAGACCACCCCCAGCTTTGATTTGCTAGGAGGAGTCACACAGGACCTTCCCTGGTGGTTCAGCAGTAAAGAATTTGCCTGCCAATGCTGGAGACAAGGGTTCAATCCCTGGGGAAGATCCCTTGGAGAAGGAAATGGCAACCCACTCCAATATTCTTGCCTGGGAAATCCCATGGACAGAGGAGCCTAGTGGGCTACAGTCCATGGGGTCACAAAAAAGCTGGACATGACTTAGCGACTAAACAATAACAAGAGATATTGGAACAAAAAAGTACAAAGCTAAATCAAAGGATAAAAGGACATGAGCGAAGTCTGGAGGAAGGCAGGCACAAGCATCTAAAAATTCTCTCCCTGTGGTGTTACACAGGTCACACTTGATTCCTCCAGTGATGAACTATGACAACGTGTGGGAAATGCTCTCTGCTAGAGAAGCTTGTTAGAAACTCAGAGACTAGGGTGTTTTACTGGGTTCTGATAGAGCCCTCTACCTGGCTCTAAAAAGGAAAGGTTTTCAGCATAAATCACAGTGAGACACTCCTATCATGTAGGGAATGTTTTATCAATGTAGTGAACTGTTTATGATTCAAGTCCCCACACTGCCTCCTCTTTTGGTATTATATCCAAGAAATTGCCAAGGCCAACGTCAAGAAGCTTTTCTCTAGGTTTTCTTCTACGAGTTCTTGTTCAGTTCTTACATTTAAATCTTTACCCATTTTGAGGTAATTTTTTAATGGTATAAGAGTCCAATATCATTGTTTTACATGTGGATGTCCAGTTTCCCTAACACCTTTTATTGAAGACACTGTCCTTTTCCCCACTGAGTATTCTTGGCACCCTTGTCAAAGACCAACTGGCCATATATGAGTAGTTCTATTTCTGGGCTCTCTATTTTGTTTGGTTGATTAATTCATCTGTTTTCATACCAGTGCCCTATTGTTTCTATTACTGTGACTTTGAACTGTATTTTGAAATAAGGAAATGTGATGCCTCCAGCTTTATTTTTCTTGCTTAAAATTGCTTTGGCTATTTGGGATCTTTTATGGTTCTGTTAATTTTAGCATTTATTTCTGAGAAAAATACCATTAGGATTTTGATAGATCTATACTAAATTTGTAGATTGCTCTAGGTATAATAGACATTTTAAGAATATTAATTTTCCTATACATAAACACAAGATGTTCTACATTTGCGTTTTTTTTCCAGTGGACTGCTTTATAGTTTTCCAGTGTCAAGTCTTTCACCTCCTTGTTAGTTTACTTCTAAGTATTTTATTATTTTTTATACTAATTAATGTATTGTTCATTTACTGTTTGGATACTTTGTTGTTAGTGCATAGAAATGCAACTGACTTTTGTACATTAATTTTGTATCCTGCAACTTTACTGATTTAATTTTTTCTAAACAGTTTTTTTAATGTGGAATCTCTAGGGTTTTCTGTGCATAAGATCATGGCATCTGCAAATAATTTTACTTTTTTTCTATCTGATTTGAATGTTTATTTTTCTTACCTAATGGTTTTGGCTAGGACTCCCAGTACTATATTGAATAGAAGTGGTGAGAGTGGACATCTTTATCTTTGCCTTATTCTAGATCTTAGAAGAAAATCTTCCAGCTTTTCATCATTTTGTATTATCTTAGTTTTGGGCTTTTAATATATGGCCTTCATTGTACTGAGGAGAGTTCCTTATATATACCTAATTTGTTGAGAGCTTTTATCCTGAAAGGGTATTAAATTTTGTCAAATACTTTGTCTGCATCTGTTAGGATGATCATGTGATTTTTTTTTTTTTAAGATTGTAATATATTCTCTGGAAAACATTCAGTAGTACAAAAGCCATCCCTGAACCCTCCTTCAGGTCCACAGCTGGTGGAATGGTCTGGAAATCCTTGAGCTCTGGAAAGGTCCCTGGTCAGTCCTTGGGGAACACAGGTTGACTATAGTGGAAGAACCTTCTCAGGAATGGTTCTTGACATCTGGGGAGTCCTTTCTGGAAAGATTACTTCAAACTCAATAATGAGGTCCCCATGTTTCTTGGGCACTTGGGGGGGAGGGTGGGCTTCTCTGGGAACTTTTTGCTGCATGCCAGGCCTGATGACATCTTTGAACACAACGGATATGGTCCCGACGTCCATAGTGAGGACATTCATTGTACAGCCACACAGAGCCTCCCAAAGGCTGATCCTGATGGCATCAGAGCCATCTCTCTTAAAGATACTGTGTGGCTTGTCCTTTAAAACAAAGATGATATTGGCTGGAATGTTGTTGGAAGTCTGGTCTCCTTCCTTGGGGAAGGTGATTTTGTTCCCTTCTTTCCACCCCTGCTTCACTTTGATGGTCAAGATTTTGTCTTCACTGTGGATGCTCTTTCTGTCGGGGTTCAGCCACTTATGAGAGATTTTCATCTTCTTGGTACAGCCGCTGTAGATCTCTTCAAGTGAGACCCTAAGGTCATAGGTGACAGGGGATCTTGTTTCTTTTGGGTGGGCTCTTGGGCAGGGCGGGAGCAGCTAAAGTTCATGTTGGTGAAGCCACCCATGCCCATAGGGAAGCCAGAGAACAGGTCATAGATGTCCATGCCTTCCTCCCCATTGTGCTGCCCAAAAAAGGTATGAAAGGGATTTTGGCCACCGAAGAACTCAGCAAACATGGCATGTGAGGGTCTCCACTGAATGTGTAGCTGAAGGAGGTACCATTAATACCGCTACTGCTCCCGCCACTGGGGCCACCACCCTTCAGGCCTTCCACCCCTAAGCAGTTGAAGATTTCGTGCTTGCATGGGTCACTGAGCACATTGTAGGCCTCCATGATCTTATCATGATGATCTTGTGATTTTGTTCTTCCTCCTGTTTATGTACTATATCACATTCATTTGCATATGTTGAAGCATCTTTGCAACCCAGCGATAAATTCCATTTGGTCATGTTGTATATTTTAATATGCTATTAAATTTGGTCTGCTAGTATTTCATTGAGGCTATTTGTATCTATATTCATCCAGGGATATTGACTTGTGGTTTTCTTGTGTCTTTGTCTGGCTTTGGTATCAGGGTGATGTTGGCCCCATAAAATAAGTTTGGAAATGTTCTCTGTTTTTTGAAAAAGTTTAAGGAGGATTGATAATTATTCTTGAAATGTTTGGAATTCATCCATTAAACCAACCTGGGCTTTCTTTGTTGAGAGGTTGGTGATGTTTTGACCCGTGATATTGGAATAGGATTTCTGCAGGTCATGCTAATTTGCCATCTTGGCAAGAACCAGAGTCAATACTATCTTTTCTGTCTTTCCCTCCATTCTCTTCTTTTGTATCATCAACTGAGCCTATACTAGGGCTTTTTTCAATCTTTGTTCTGTGTATTCTGTGGCTAGTTTACAACTTGGGCCCAAGATTTTTTGATGCTTACATATTCAAGGGGTAGGCCTATATCCCTCCCCCCATTAAGTTTTGGGTGGTTTGTTACTTTTTGTTCTGTTATTGATGAATCCCTTAGTTATGTACAAATTTACTAATTTGTTCTTCAGTAACTCCCATACTAAATTTTATACCATCTACTGAGGTTTTATTGCATGACTTAATGTTTTGTTTCTAAAATTTCTAATCATATATATATATACATAAAATCTAGTTTTATTTCAGCCTCATGGTTTGTTTCTTCCATAATTAATTGTCTATTTTGTGGGTGTAGTCCTGAAATCATCTTTACAAGTAGCTTTTTTAAAAATTGCATTATGAGTAGTACATTTTAAAAAGCATATTCTCTATCCTTTCTCTCCCCACCAATATTTATCCCTAGACCACCCAGATATGGTCTAGAATCAGGTCTTACAATAGTGACTTGGGCTTCTGATCCAACATGGTACAAAACCGTACTTATCCAAAATAGTACAATTGATTTCATTGAGCCTATTAGCTATAAGGTTTAGCATGTAGTCTTTGTATTCCAGCTTCCATAGGTCTGAAACATACTACAATGAATAACTTCAGGAATCTTTCTGCAGTGGCTATATTTGCTTCATTTCTAGTGTTTGCATTTAAAATTTTATCTGTTATCTCTGTTTAGAGAAAAGCGTGGTACATAAAAACATTAGCTTGCTTCACCAGTTGAAACAAAACACTTGTTACTTTTACTTTTTAATATTATGTTTCAGTATTCTGTAAACACAAATATTTCAATATTATAAAAAGTTATATAGATTTGGAAATGAGGTCAAATTGTAGGCTGAAGAGGATGTGTGATTAATCATGTACTTTTATGTTCAACTCTGTAGAAAATAAACCTTTATATATGAGAATTATATGGATAAATTTTGCTTTTGAGAATAAGATTTATCTTTAAATATAAAACAACAAAAAGCACAGACATGGAGAAAGCAATATATATATATTTATCTTTAGTAGAATTAAATAAAGCCAAAGAGATCAATTCCATTTTATATATATGTCTAATTTCAGCCTGTAAATCTATTTAAATGACATCTTTATTATACTTAGCTTATAAATATGTCTGATTTTAAATTTTCATAGTTAATATCTATTTTATAACTAATGGAAATTTCAGATCAAATTTAATTTTCATTTAAAGTTAAAACATTATAAATAAAAGATTTTTATGCATGCTTTAAGATAATGTAACATAGTATTACAAAGAAATACTCATTTTGAATCAATTGTGCTCTATATGGATAATTCCAGGCTTAAAAATCTGCTCTTCATCCCACATAAGAGTTTGCTCATAAAATGGCAGCATTGGGTTATAGTCCAAATAATATAGTAAATGTCCATGAATCCATATATAAAGAAATGAGTAAAATGTAAATGCAGGAGAAGTGACAAGTAGTCCTTAAAGAATTTCAGTTAATTAGTGTAAAAGGAATCAGAAATTCACCATTTACTGCCACAGTTATTAATTGCCACAGGAAACAGCCAGTAATGGATACTAAAATTAGTGGGCAAAAGTTAAAGCAGAAACATTATATTTGCATTGTAGTTTCAAAGTATCCCTCCCCATATTAATTATAAGAGGAAAAATAGTAACATTACAGTAAATAAACGTGACAGATGTCACTCTTGAGCACTTGGTTAAGATGACATCACTTTAACACTACTGAATTACATACTTAAAAATGGTTAATATTCTACCACAGTTAAAAAAAATATTAACATTACCAGATAAGACATTTTGACATCATGTACCCCCTGATATTATGGATTGAGAAGGTCACAGTATCATTTCTGTAATATTCTTCCCAGTAATGCAGAACAATCTAATTATGAGAAAACAAAGACAATGTCAAGTTGAGGGACATATTTGTTAACAATAAGCTTATTGTGGTAATCATATGCTGTATACCTTAACCAGTGCTATACCTCAATGTAACTGGAAGAAATTGAGAGATATTTTACAAATAACTGACCAGTCCTCTTCAAAAGTCTCAAGGTCATGAAAGACAAAAGGTTAAGGGACGATGGTGGATGGTAGAAACTAAATTCATGTGTGAGATCCTAGATTGGATCCTTGAAAAGAAAAAGGACAGTAGGGTAAAATCTGAATAACATTTGTAATTTAGTTAATAGAATTGTACCAACAGTAATTTCTTAATTTTGTTGACTGTGCTATGGTTATGTAAGATGGTAACATTAAGGGAAGCCAGGTGAAGAGTATATGATAACTCTATACTATCCTTGCAGTTTTATGAATCTAAAATTATCTCATAAGGAATTTAAATCCTTTTAAAAAACTTCTGTTGTAACTCGAAACTTCCAGTAGAAATGTGTATATATATATATATATATATGCATTTCAAAGTTAAATAGGTAATTGAAGCTCTTTGCCCAAACTAGAGGTACTGCTCTACCCTTGGAATCCTAGGTACAAATATTGTGCTTATACCCCTTGTGGGTCTGCATTTACATGTTATATAAAATAAGGTACATAACTAAAGACTCATTAAAGCAAACCTAGACAGTTAAGGCACAATTGGTAATGTTAATTGTATCCTTGAAATATGTTAATATTTTGCTTTTTTTAAGTTTAGAATAAGAGAACTTAAAATAGCTTATAAATGCAGAAAAGTGATGATCAAAAATAAATTGAATTTGATTCCTTACTCCATTTTATGAATGATAGGCTAGGAACTACCTCTTTCTTAGTTTCCATGTATGTCATCACATTAGCATGCTCAGAAGGGAAAATGGCTTAAGATCAACTCTGATAATAGGTGAAAATCTTTCTTTAAGGCCACTTAGTTGATATTAGTGAATTCTTTTTCCTTTAATATCTTTTGTAAATCTACTTGTTTTATTTAGTCTGTTTTTTTTCCTCATCCACTTTTCATTCTCCACATTCAGATAACCGTTCTCTGATGAGCAATGAGATAGGTATAAAGAGACTTAAGACTTGCCTCAGGCTCTTCAACAACCATTAAGAAATCTAACTTAATTTTAGCAAACATTCCTGAACTGAATCTCTTTAGCCTTATATCTGCCTTTATATTTGCAAATAAGGCAAATCCTTTTTCTTCTTTATCCTTCCTCCCATCTGGTTATCTATTGAGGACCACCATTCACCAGACATTTGCATGATTGTGAATGGTGGTACAAGACGTTGATTCAGAAATGATCTCTACTCATCAAGGGACAAAAATCTAGAAATTTCTGAATAATGACAAACTATATTTCTACTTCTCAACTTAATTGCTTTCTGACATCAAAATTAGAAGCTAGTTCTCTTCCCCTAACCATGTGTAACCTTCTAATAGAAAATAACTTAAAGGCAAAATAACACGGTATCTCTATGGAACTAAGTGTTTCCAGAGCCAGAACTAGTGAACTTCCACAGGAGACATGGGTAATGGTTACATATAGTCATCAGATACTTGGGCATGGCCCTCTGAACCCCGAGACCTGTTCCTATCAGAATCTGGTGGTAATCTGGAGCCAGCCTCTGTTTTTGCCTCTCCAGTTCCATGGGGGAAAGGGAAGTTGGGCATAAAGCGCTTAAGAAACCGGAACTCACTATTGCTAGTGCCAGTGGCTGAGCACATCTCGTAGGGACAAGGCTGCGATACGGGTCTACTGGCTCCTCCTTGTACCAGGTTAGAGAAATTGCAGTCATCATAGAAATGCTCTTGAATTGTGAACTTTTCTCTGTGTTTAATCTTCTGGCAGATATGTATAATGAAGATCACTGTGACAGAGAGGAGAAAGAGAAAGGAAAGCACAGCCAGAGAAATGACTAAATATTTAGTGGATGGATTTACCCTTGTAGGATGCTTAAATGTATCCCGAAACTGCAGATAGGGCTCAGAAAAGCCATCTACCAGGAGAATGTTAAGTGAGGCAGTAGTAGAAAGAGCTGGTTGGCCATGATCCTGAACAAGAATGACCAGTTTCTGCATCATGGGGTCTCTCTCAGATACCTGCCGCAATGTACGGATTTCCCCATTTTGTTGCTGAACAGAGAATAACCCAAGGTCAGTGGCCTTAAATAGATGATATGAAAGCCAAGAATTCTGACCCGAGTCACCATCCACTGCCACCACCTTGGTCACCAGGTAGCCCGCCTCTGCAGACCTGGGTACCAGGTCATTGCAGGGCAAAGTGCCATTTTGCAGTGGGTACAAGATCATTGGACGGTTATCATTGTCATCCAGGACAACCACTCTGACAGTAACCTGGCTACTCAGTGACAGGAAGCCCCCATCAGTTGCCTTTACCACAAACTGAAAATCTTGAATGGCCTCATAATCCATCGTTCTCAGTGCATAGAGTTTCCCATTGTCTGAATTTATGGAGATGTAAGCAAAGACTGATAGATCTCCACTTTTTGGAGGCAACAGGGAATACATTACTTTGGCATTCTCACCCAAATCTAGATCCTCAGCAAGGACTTTGCCAATAAAAACTGCAGGGCTGTTGTTTTCTCTAACAGTCAAGATGTAGGAATCTTCCTGAAATACTGGGGGGTTGTCATTAATGTCTGATATTAGCACCTCTATCACAGTCTCTGAGGACAGAGTGGGTGGTCCAGTATCCATGGCAACAAGGGTGATGTTATAGCCAGAGACCTCCTCCCGATCCAAGCCTCTGTCAGTGACCAGTGAGTAGGAGTTCCGGAATGTAGGTTTGACTGCAAAGGGAAGGTCTTCTTTGAGGAAGCAGGTGATCTTTCCTCCCACTCGAATGTCCCGGTCTCTGATAGAGAAAAGGGCCACGACAGTCTGTAGTGGAGAGTCCTCAGGGAGAGGGCTGGACACAGAGGAAACTGTAATTTCAGGAGGATTGTCATTAACATCCACCACTTCCACCAGGACTTTGCTGTGGGCAGAGAGGCCTCCTCCATCGGTAGCTTGAATGTCAATGTCGTATGTTTCAATAGCTTCAAAATCTAGGGGCCCTCTTAGTCGAACCTCTCCACTTTCAGAGTTAATCTGAAATGTCTGGAGGATTACTTCTGGATTTTGAGCTAACGAGTAAGTTATCTCCTTGTTGGAGCCCTCGTCCAGGTCGGTGGCAGTCACCGTAGCCACCAGGGAACCGTTGGCGCTATTTTCCGGTACCTGAGCTCGGTATACCAGTCGAGAGAATTGGGGCACGTGATCATTGACGTCCAGAACCTCCACCCGGATGTGGGCGGTGCCAGATTTGGGTGGAGACCCTCCGTCCACAGCTGTAATTGTCATGTTGACTTCCGGCTGCTCCTCTCTGTCCAGGGGTTTATCCAGCACTAGTTCCGCATACTTGGGCCCGTGGCTGCGGAAGCGGGTGTGCAGGTGGAAATACTCATTGGCGCTTAGGGTGTAGTTTTGGAGACCGTTGAGGCCGACGTCCAGATCCTGGGCACTCTGCAGAGGAAAGCGTGAACCCAGGGGGGTGCTCTCCGGAATCCTTAACAGAGGCTCCTTGTTTAGGAAAACCGGGGCATTGTCATTGATATCAAATACCCTGACCTCCACGCGAAAGGACTGCAGTGGCTCCACCAGGACTACTTCAAAGTGCAGAACGCATGGGTCAGCTTTGCCACAGAGTGACTCCCGATCCAGTTTCTCCTTCACGAACAGATCCCCTGTCTTGCGGTGGAGCCGGAAATGCAGTTTATTGCCCTCGGAAACAAGCCGCGCCCCACGCCCAGCCAGCTTCCCTACCTCCAGCCCCAGGTCCTTAGCCACATTAGCTACAAACGAACCGCTCTCCATCTCCTCTGCCACCGAATAGCGAATGGTTGCTGCACCCCCCACAGATAAGCACAGAAAAATGAGAAGAGTTCCCACTTGCCTGCTTTGCAGGAGTTTTCTGCGTGCAGTCGCCATTCTTTCTCACAAGCGCACTCTCAGCAGCAGCCGCCACCTGTTGCGGGTACACTTTAAACTTCTCTGCCAACAGGTTCCGGCGACAGCTGCCCTTGGCTTTGTTAGCCTCTAACCGCAGCGCCTCCAAAGGCTAACCGAGCCGGGTGAGCTGTTTTGAACTTGGAAGAAAAATTACATTGAGCAACTCAACTCCCCAGTCCCTAGTCTATCGAATGTATTAATAGATATGTTCTCATTCTGGAGAGTTAGGTAGAGGTTGAAATTGTTGCCAAAGCAACAGCAAACTCACCTTTCATTTCCCTTTCAGGGAAAAAAAAAAGAAGGCCCTTGGGAATTGAGAAGCCAATGAGGATACTCATTAAGCGAGCTTAAGGCTGAAGTCATCGTATCTGTGAGCTGGCTGGGGACGCTGCAGCAACCAGCGAACAGCGAGGTGTTAAGGTACTGGGCGCACCACACACACTGTGCCTGGAGACCAAGGGAAAGGCAGAAAGATCCCGCAGAGTCTTCTGAAGCCTGAGCCAGCGGGGTGGGGGCGGGGGCTTGGAGGAAGTGATGAGTAGGAAAAGAAAAGAGGACAGACATCATCCTTCAGGAAACTGGGGTCCAGTAGGTACATTGGATGGGGCAGCTGTTCAACTTGCCTCATGATATGCATAAATCCATTCTTTTCCCCGGAATCCTCAAATGCTCAAATACTCAAAAACCAGCAACTGGTTTTTACTCATGATTATGATGGAATTAGTACTTATTGGGTGTATTTCTATATACTGGTATGTGTTAAGTAATTCACATGCATTATCTCATTTAATCCTTGCATCAACGACTCTACAGGATACACATTTCTTTTTTACAGATGAAATTGAGAGGTTATGTTACTCCCCTAGGGCCCTCTACCTAGTAAATATGAGATAACAATAATAATAAAGTTTTATTAAGATAATTGTTTTGTCTGACACAATTCATGCTCATAATTAGTATGTAAATCTGCTTCCCAAATAATATAATAGATAAGCGAAGTGAAGATATATGTTTGGCTTCAGATTTTAGAGGAAATTAAATAATAGACTACTTACATATATTGAAAATGGCCCAATATAAATTGTGCAAGGTATTTGTTCAGAGTTTCTTTAATAGTCATCATAGAATGTTTAAGAATGCACCTCAGAAAGATTAGGTCCATCTCCCCAACCCCTTTTTAAAAATATTTATTTGGTCTTAGTTACAGGATTTGAACTCTTAGTTACAGCATGTGGAATCTAGTTCCCTGACCAGGGATCTAACCTGGGCCCCCCTGTGTTGGGAGCACTGAGTCTGAGACACTGGACCACCATGTAAGTCCCTCCCCTTTTTTTAAACAGATGAAAAACTAAGCCCCAAATGATTGAATCACTTGCCCAGTCCATACAGCTACTCCTAGCAATATAAGAACTAGAACTTATCCGCTGACACTGTCTGATGCTCGTTATTCCATTTCTGAAAAACAAAAACAATTATATATAGTGTAGAATGTTAAAAAAAATGCAGTAGGTAATCCTCAGAATCTAGTCTCTTTTCATTGATACTTAGTTCAGGACTTCTGGTATTTAATCATGTGAATGGTGATTTGGGGGTGGTTTGAAGTAGGACTTGAAGTATGTCAAGTATCAACAAATATGGACTTAGGTAAAGAGAAGCTGCTTTAAAAGACCATTGCAATAACAGAACTCACTCTTCACAAAACCTGCAAATGTCTCAAGCAGAAGAAAAAAATGTTTTTTAAAATAAAATTAGGAGTAACTCAGAATTTTATTGTTGGATATATTAATAATTCTCATGGAGAAGGTGAAAAAAATGGGAGGAGGCTAAAACTGAAGTTGATAATTCATATTAGCCAGGATAGAGAGATACTTGGCCATGTTTGTGGATTGGAAAATGTTCCTTTATGCCTCTTTGTGGCATCTTCTTGTTTTTCTCTTAATCCATCACCATCACAGAGTAGCCATGTCTAATATTGTTGTTCTGTGAACCTGTTTTTGTTCAACAAGAGAACAACACAGCCTAGCTCTGAGTATCAGGCTAGTTCCTAACTGTCACAGACTGCTTTTTGTCTTTTTCAGCATGAATACAACAAAAACTCATTTACTCATTCTATTGTTCCACTGTTCACAGAAGTTTGTCATACATGTCACTTTGTACACAAGTGTATACATTTGAAGGAGGGGGCATATACCTAGAAGTGGCTTTGGTGTCACAGGGTTGCTCTCTCCAGCTTCTTCTGATGCTTCCAAACTGCCTTCTAAGAACTTGTACCAATTATACTCTCATCAGCAGGATAACTTCCAGTTATTCTAATTATTACTGATACTTGTCATTACTAATTTTCTTAAATTTTAACCATTTTTGCTATCTCATTGTAAGCTTAATTTGCATTTCTCTGAGTATTAATTAGTGATGTAGTAAGGCACTATTTCAGAGAAGGCAATGGCATCCCACTGCAGTACTCTTGCCTGGAAAATCCCATGGATGGAGGGGCCTGGTAGGCGCTGCGGTCCATGGGGTCCCTAAGAGTCGGACACGACTGAGTGGCTTCACTTTCACTTTTCACTTTCACACGTTGGAGAAGGAAATGGCAACCCACTCCAGTGTTCTTGCCTGGAGAATCCCAGGGACGGGGGAGCCTGGTGGGCTGATGTCTATGGGGTCACACAGAGTCGGACACGACTGAAATGACTTAGCAGCAGGGCACTATTTAAGAATATTTTGGTTATCTGGATAACCTTTGGTTGTTCAGTCCTCTTGCCCATTTTTTTCACATGGATTGTCTTTTTCCTATTTATTTGTTGTAGTTCTTCCTATATTCTAACTGTGAGTCCTGAGTATCTCTTTATAATTAAGAAAAAGAGACATGCTTATCTTTAGTTGATATAGAGCTTATTTTTATATTTAATACATAGCTACAGAGTTTTTATTGAAAAAGGAGGTATATCTCCCATTAAGGAGAAGCTTATTGCATCCTAAGAAGTCTTTTTTAAATTAAGATATAATTGATACAACATTATGAGTTTAAGGTATACAACTTGATTCAATATATACTGCTAAATGCTCAGCACAGTAAGTCTAGTTAACATTCATCACCACACATAGTTAAAAGTTCTCATCACAAGAAAGAACAAACTTACAAGACCTTTTCTCTTAGCAGTTTTCAAATATACAATTCAATGTTATTAACTATAATCACCACCTAGGAATCTTAATACAGTCAATTTCTAAGTAACTCATTCAAGACTCATAAATTTTAAAAATACATTTTTACAACTTGAAATACAAGAATATGCTGCTCTTTAATTGGATTCCTGTGCATCTTAATTTGTTTAGTTAGTTCCCAGGGTATGTATTAATATCTTCTTGATGGGATTAAATTACAAACTACTTTCTTTTTCCTCTGAAAACTTTGGACCCTTTCAACATTGTAGTATTTTTTAAGGATGTTTTTATTCTTTCCAGTGAAGGTAGAATTAGGACCAAATAAATCTACAACCAACTAGGCTGTAATGTCAGGGTCTTTACTCAAAGTCTAGTTACTGGGAAGAGAGGCAAAGTACAGCTAGTAAAATATCATGATGTTTTGGGAGACTAAAAAATGCATTCCAAAACTGTAGTTAAGTACTAACTCTTTTTAAAAAATCTTATTTTGAAATAATTTAAACCTACAGAAGAGTTACAAGAGTATTGACAATTACCCATTACTTACCTATAATTTGGTTTGACCAAATTTTAGTTAGACTTCTCTTCTCTTCATAGGCCCCTGAACTTTAACTCATCTCCAAACTCAGACAAGTCCTGAAATACAGACATCCTCTACTTAATGATTCATTCAGAGAATAGACCAACCATTGAGGGAAAAATACTCCTGTTGCATCACCCTGATTATACCATCTGCTCGCTGTATCCCCTTGCCATACTCCCCCACAAAGTTACTGTTAGCCCTGCCTACCTCTCCCTTCCCAGGTGGCTTAGATGGTAAAGAATCTGCCTGCAATGCAGGAGACCTGAGTTTGATCCCTGGGTCAGGAAGATCCCCTGGAGAAGGAAATGGCTACCCACTCCAGTGTTCTTGCCTGGAGCATTCCATGAATAGTGGAGCCTGGAGGGCTATAGTCCATGGGGTCAAAGAGAGTTGGACATGACTGAGCGACTAACATATACACACACACCTCTTCCTAATTTTATTTAAATAAAACCTTTTTTTTCTATTTGAGACATTTGCAGATTTTGTGATTAGTGAGTTCTGGTATTACAACAGTCTTTAAAAATAACTTCTCCTTACCTAAGTCCAGGCTTGTTGATATTTGACATAATAAGCAATAATAAGTAACCACCTAGACTCACCAATTTAGCTCCATTTGTTCACTTTCTCTCATATATATATATATATATATACACACACACACATATGTCTATATATATTACATCGTATATTTTATGTACATATACACATTTATTATTTAAAAAGTCAGTCACCCTGTTAAATTCTATGGGAAGAGTATACCTCTCTGCTCCATTGATGTTGAATTTGGCCATGTCAATTATACCAAGCCCTCACAATGGGTTTAGTTTAATTTTCCATTTTGGGCTTGACCCTATCAGTTCCTTTGGCCAATGGGATATTAGCAGACAGCATTGAATTGTGTCCTTCAGAAAGCTGTGTTTAAATCCTAACCTCTAGTATCTGTGAACGTGACCTTTTCAGATATAATCAAGTTAAGATAAACATATGGAAAAAATAAAATTAAAAAAACATATGGAATTAGGGTAACCTTGAAGTCTGATGACTGGTATCCTTATAGAGATTTAGAGGCATGCAGACACAGGGAAGAAGGCCATATAATGATGGAGCTAAGAGACTGGGCTGATGCTGCTATGAGGCAAAGCATGCCAAGGATCACTGACAACAACCAGAAGGTAGGAAATGGTAAGTAAGGATCCTTCCCTAGTCTTCGGAGGGAGCAGGGCCCTGCTGACACCTTGATTTCAGACTATCAGCCTACAAACTATGAGAGAATTTAGGTTTGCTTTTTTAAGCCACCCAGTTGGTGGTAATTTGTTATAGCAATCCTAGGAAACTAATACACAGAGTAAAGTAACCTGTGGCTTGAAATGTGTTGCTGCAGTAACTGTCCTCTTGTTCTTCTGCCATGTCTGTAAGAACATTTTCTGGATAGCCCACTGATTCAAGGATGAGGATGGAACAGCACTGGACACAACCTATATACTAAAGCCAAGCACAGCTCATCTCAGCCTAAGTCTTTTTACCTCCAGAGGTATGAGTGAGAAGTCTGTTGTTTTGAGCTCTTAAGTTTTGTGCTGCGTTATGAGAAGGAAAGAGAGGGAAGGAGGAGAAAGCGAAAAGAAAGAAAGCCGACAGAATGGCAACCCACTCTAGTATTCTTGCCTGGAAAATTCCACAGACTGAAGAGTTGGAGACAACTGACCATAGACACACACACACACACACACACACAGTGTAAACATTGAATTTTGTAGTGAGCTAGTTGCACACATTTTAACATATCATCCCTGATTATCTCAACATATATGTCTTAAAAACAAGGGCATTCTGCCACATGACTTCAATACAGTTAACACACTCAGCAAATTTAACATGAACACTATTACCCAGTATTGTATTCAATATTCTGATTTCTTCCATTGTTTCAATAATGCCCTTTGGGGCTGTTTTTTTAATCCAGGATATAATCAAGCTTTGCATATTGTATTCAAATGTCATGTGTTTCTAGTTTCCTTTAAACTAGAACAGTTTAAAGAAAATATTTGACTTTTTTTCATGACATTGTCTTAAAGAGTCTTTTTACAGCATATCCCTCAATTTGGGTATTGTGTCTTCATTAAATTCAGATGAAATATTTTGAAATCAGTACTGCCTTGGAGATGTTGTATTGTCTATGCATTACATCAGAAGGCATATACTGTCATTTCATTCCATCACTGATGATACTAAGTTTGACATAATTTTGTTACAAAACAGTGTTCAAAAACCTTTCAGTTTGAAAAGTACCACCTTTTAACTTTTCATGATTATTTATCTTTGGAGGGATGCTTCAAAACTGTGAATATCATGTGAAGAAAAGGGAATCCTTGTGCACTGTTGGTGGGAATGAAAATTGGTACAGCCACAATGAAAACAGTATGGAGATTCTTCAAAAAATTAAAAGTAGAGCTTCCATATGACCAGAAATTCCACTCCTAGGTATTTATCTAAACAGAAACACTAATTAGAAAAGATATATGCACTCTTGTGTTCATTGCAGCTTATTTACAATAGTCAAGATATGGAAGCAGCCTGGATAAAGAGGATGTGGTGGGTTGGTGGCTGTAGCGGTGTGACTTTAGAATATTGGGGCTTCCCTGGTGGCTCAGATGTTAAGGAATCTGCCTGCAATGCAGGAGACCCAGGTTCAGTCCCTGAATCAGGACAGTTCCCTCGAGAAGGGAATGGCTACCCACTCCAGTATTCTTGCCTTAGCCATAAAAAAGAATGAAATCTTGGCATTTGTGGCAACATGGATGGTCCTAGAAGGTATTATGCCAAGGGAAAAAAGTCAGAGAAAGACAAAAACTATATGATTTCACTTACATGTGGAATCTTAAAAGTTAACAACATAACAAAGCAGGAACAGTTACAGATAGAACAAATAGGTGATTTCCAGGGCGGGGGGTGGAGAAGATCAAGGAGTACAGGGAGATTAAGAAGTATAAATTCCAGTTACAAAGTAAATGAGTCAAGAGGATGAAATATACTGTGAGGGAATACAGTCAATGTTGTTGTTCAGTTGCTAAGTCGTGTCCGACTCTTTGTGACCCCATGGACTACAGCATGCCAGGCTTCCCTTTCCTTCACCATCTCCACTATGTAATGTTAAATCACTATGTTGTTAACCAGGAACTAAGTGTTGTAGGTCAGCTATACTTCAAAAAAATACAAAGTCACAGAAAAAGAGTTCAGATTTATGGTTACCAGAAGGCTGAGGTGGGAGGGGGAATTGTATGAAGGTAATCAGAAGGTTCAAAGTCAGAAGCCTCCAGTTATAAGTAAGTACTAGGGATGTAATATACAACATGATAAATATAATTTGGCACTGCCTAATATGTGAAAGTTGAGAGTTCTCATCATATGGAGTTTTTTTTCCCTATTTCATTTTATACCTATATGAGATGATGAATGTTCACTAAACTTTTTGTGATAACCATTTCATGATGTAAGTCAAGTCATTATGCTGTATGCCTTGAACTTCTATAGTACTATATGTCATAAGACTGGAGGGGAAAAACTAGGAATATTCTGTTTCCAAACAGTTTTAGTACTCAGTGCTTTGCAACATCTATGGATGATACTTGCCTATATTAATATATACTTGTACTTATACAAGTATCTGTGGTGTGTGTATATAATCATGGTATTTATGTTTCAGTCCATTAAAACAGGGTTTTTCCTTTCCATCCCCCAGTTCATATTTATGTTAGCCTTGTACCAAAGTGAGAATCTTTGGTTCCTAACACCATCAATATATTTACTCATTATATGTATACTGAAACATGTTATCTTTTACAGTAAGAGTTGGCAGTCATGATCCTTGGTATTTGCCCTAAGTAGCTGAAAACTTAATCCACACAAATGTTTATAGCAGCTTTACTCATAATTGCCAAAACTTGAAGCAACTAAGATGTCCTTCAGTAGGTGAATTAATAAACTGTGATATATCCAGATAGTTGAATTACTTTATTATTCAGCACTAAAAAGAAATGAGTTATCAGGCCATGAAAAGATATGGAGGAAAATTAAGTGCATCCTATTTAAGTGCATCCGAACAAAGTGAAAGAAGACAGTCTGAAAAGGCTGTATACTATATGATTCCAGCTATAATTCTAAAAATGGTAAAACTACAGAAACAGTAAAAAAAAAATCAATGGTTGTCAGGGCTTAGGGATGAGGGAGGAAGACTAGGTGGAACACACAGGATTTTTTAAAAGGAACTATATTACTACACATGTGTAACTGCAATACTGGCTAATACGCCCATTGGCTGTTTCTATTATTATATTCAAACTTGAAATAGTCTTTTAATATTTGTTATAGTCATATTGATAAGTGTATCAGTATCTGGGATAGCCTCTATTTTCTTTCATATATACTCCATAAGTTTAAAAAAAAACTTTCTTAGGAGCACATTTTAAAACACTGAGTTGACACCTAAAGTTTTAGACTTTATTGTTATTTTAGGGTTATCCTTTTATTGTTTATTTTCACGCATTTTAGGTTTCTTATTCCATTTGGCAGGAACAAGAGGCTTTGAGGGTATAGACATCTATCTTAGGCAGCTCAACTTATTGCAGCTGCTTTTGATCTACCATCTGTTGCTTTAAATGACAATACCCCTTATGGTTTACCATGTGTATGTACGTATAATGTTTCTGTCTTCCACAGTAACATAAGAAGCTTTAATATAAACCAATACCATTTACAGTCCAGACTTATATTACATTCTTACTTTAAACAAATGGCTTTCATACCCATGTTGACTCTGGTAGGAAAGGTTATAGGTCTCTGTTCATGAACTCTGACAGGTGTTTGACAAACTTCCCATTTTAACCAAATGGAGTCTAGGTTAGAATGTTAATTCTTCTCTTAAACTCTGACCAATTTATCTCCTTTATCAATGAAGATAATTCAAGTAATTTTTCCCAAACTTAATACCTAAATTTTTATTGAAATCAGTATTTTAAAAAATGTTTTATGTCTTAAATGATACCTGTATTTTCTGTGTTAAGATCCATAGAAGAGTAAATGAGAAAACATAACAATACTAAATATTAAATGGGTTGGCTGAGAAAGCCAAGTGTGCCTCTTGGATAGTTCTGTCTTTTTCTGAGGTTGCCAAGTTTAAGAAAGAAATTCATTTTTACTCAGTTTGCTAGAAGTGATTTTACACTGTAACCCACAGATCTGAAGATATAGTAAGCCTCTGGTTATAAAGCAGTGACTTGTTTCAGAATTATGGGGAGAGTGATATTAAATTAATAAGGAAGAAGAGGTTACCATCAAAAACATAGAAATTTTAAAGTCAGTTGGGATTTTGACACTACAGCCTCTTAAAAAGTACCCACCTTTCCATAGTATTTTTGTAAATATAACATTTGAAAGAAGCATACCATTAACCTCTTTCTCCTGTTTTATTCTCATTATCAAAAGAATACCTACTCAGCAACCTGATTAATTTCAGGGACTCCCCATCTGAAGTTAAATGTACAAATTTCACAGTGGCTGTAAAAGTACACAGAGTGAAAATATACAGGGTAAACATAAGCATACCATAACTTTCCTATATTGCCAACTCTGATAGTTTATATACTAGTCCTGGAAGAAAATAAGAAACATGAATTTTTCTTTTAGAATTCCTATGACCTCTTAACCACTTCCTAGGTATAATTACAGTTGTTTTTTTTTTCCTTCCAGAAACTGAAATCAGAGCAGTACTCTTGGCTAAACTTTCTTGAATGTATTTGGCTAACAAGATGCAGCTTCCAAAGCATTTCTTTCTGTAAAATGTACTCTGTGAAAATAAATGACCCAATCAAAAAATGGGCCAAAGAACTAAACAGACATTTCTCCAAAGAAGACATACAGATGAATAACAAACACATGAAAAGATGCTCAACATCACTCATTATCAGAGAAATGCAAATCAAAACCACAATGAGGTACCATTACACGCCAGTCAGGATGGCTGCTATCCAAAAGTCTACAAGCAATAAATGCTGGAGAGGGTGTGGAGAAAAGGGAACCCTCTTACACTGTTGGTGGGAATGCAAATTAGTACAGCCACTATGGAAAACAGTGTGGAGATTTCTTAAAAAGCTGGAAATAGAACTGCCATATGACCCAGCAATCCCACTTCTGGGCATACACACCGAGGAAACCAGATCTGAAAGAGACACGTGCACCCCAATGTTCATCGCAGCACTGTTTATAATAGCCAGGACATGGAAGCAACCTAGATGCCCATCAGCAGACGAATGGATGAGGAAGCTGTGGTACATATACACCATGGAATATTACTCAGCCATTAAAAAGAATTCATTTGAATCAGTTCTAATGAGATGGATGAAACTGGAGCCCATTATACAGAGCGAAGTAAGCCAGAAAGATAAAGACCATTACAGTATACTAACACATATATATGGAATTTAGAAAGATGGTAACGATAACCCTATATACAAAACAGAAAGAGAGACACAGATGTAAAGAACAGACTTTGGACTCTGTGGGAGAAGGCGAGGGTGGGATGTTCTGGGAGAATAGCATAGAAACAAGTATACTATCAAGGGTGAAACAGATCACCAGCCCAGGTTGGATGCATGAGACAAGTGCTCAGGGCTGGTGCACTGAGAAGACCCAGAGGGATGGGATGGGGAGGGAGGTGGGAGAGGGGATGGGGAACACATGTAAATCCATGGCTGATTCATGTCAGTGTATGGCAAAAACCACTACAATATTGTAATTAGCCTCCAACTAATAAAAATTTAAAAAATTCAAATGCACATTAAAAAAATGTACTGTGAATACTTTAGTAACTATTTCTAAATGTCTATAAAAACATACTTTTCTAATAGCAAGATACACTGAAATAAATGGGAAATTTTAAACATATTTGCAAATTATTTGGGAGATGGTAGAAGTGTGAGATCACTCTCTGAATTCTCAATTCTCCTATACTTCTCTGACTTTTAAAAATAGCCAGATCTCCCCCAAACCACTTCCTGAGGTTCGATATTCCAAAACCTTTAGGGTCTCAATCCAAAGTCCTTTTTGAACTTTATCAAAAGCATTTTCCTTATGTACCACCAGATGGCAGATGGATCCACTTTTTGGAGAGCGAACCTGACCCCGCCCTACCGGAAGTTGTCATGTAAAGGAACCCTCTCTGGCCACGCCTAGAGTTCAGCACCACTGACGCGGACAGCGACACCACCCAATTTAGTCCCATGACTCGCTGCAGAGATTTTCACCTGACAAAGGAATTGGCCAATCCCAACTGCTTCCAAAGGCTGCGTGACTGACTAATTTACAATGCCAGATATGGAGGGGGAACACTTTTGATGTGGGACAGAAAGGCTGGCAGAGGAAGCAGTTAATTTTAAATAATATTTCATAATGCAAAACCCTAGGTTCTCCTTCTCACTGCCCATCAGATTCTAAGTGCATTCTTGTAAATGCTATCTTGCTATGCGAGAGACAGTAGATTAACCAACCTTGGTGCGTTGGTTTAGTCCGACACAACGCGTAAGACAAGGAAGGCGGTACAAAAGTCCGTGTGAGTTATGGCGGCCAATCCCTTTTCTTGCACAAAGCTGCGTGTCAGCTTTTCTAAGAATCCGGCTATGGGGACAGACTGCTTTTTCTGCATAGTTTTCTGGTTAACCTCAAGAACCCAAACAGCAGCTCTTTTTCTTCACATGAAATTACTATTTTAGAGAGGTTGGACTGAAACACGAGTGTGCTCTAGAAGGTGACGGTTTAGGTGTCATCTTTCCAGTTGCCTAGCAACAAATGAAACAAAAAGAGCACATTTGCAGGCTTTAATTCACATTTTAGAACAGCAAAAACCCAAGGGCAAATGAAAATAGGCTCAGGATAGTGTAACATATTAACTAGGTCTAGTGTTTAGAACCACTCTAAGTCTCAGTGTTGGGGCAGCATGTAGGGCTAATGGGGATAAGTAGCTGTTGAAGATGAACAAATAAGCTAAATGAAGCTGATTTATAGCTGTACTTTATTGGTGGGGTATGGATTGCTTTCTCTTTTCCCACTGTTTAGGCAGCAATAATTCATACCCTGAACCAGCAGAGGGCGAGTCGACTGCATTTTTTGCCCCTAAGACACTCCCTTCCTTCACCCCCACCTCCTCTCATCCCTTGCCCAGGGGAAATTAATTTACTAGGTTCTTCAAATATAGACCAAGGAAGGAAGGTGTGAAAGAGGGAGAGCAGCAGTGCAGAACTCACCAGGGCGCCTGCCCTGTCAGCTTTGGATCGGTGGCTGCTCACGTGTCCCCTTACTTGGACCTGCAGAGGAAATTGCAGGTTTTCCCAGGAGGTGGCAGGGATAAAAAGCAGCCCACACTCAGAAGGCATGGATATTTGTGATTACTAGCTTCAGAGAATTGGGAGAGTCAGAGGTAACCTGGTTACACGACAGATACAACCTATAAAGGTTTGAAAGAGAAAAGAACTACTACCCTTTCTCAGGGCCAGTAATAGCTCAGTATGCTGGAACATGAACAACAACAAAAGGCTCTGCTCTTGCTTCCGTACTCTAGGGACAAAAATGGAGTGGGGGTAGGGAAAGGAAAAGATGAAAGACCAAGAGTCTGACTGAGTCATCTTTAAAACAGAACAAGCAAAGCAAGCCACTCAGGGGGCAAGACAATGAGAAAAGGCCTGCCAGAATGCAGGGCAGAGCAATAAAGCATGCTGTGCAAAGTTAATTTATTGTCAGACGGAGCCCTCTGCATTCTGGACAAGCATACCACTGGCTCCAGAGGGATGTTTTACCTTGTTTTGTGAGACTTTGCAGAATCTTTTGGGGGCAGGCTGCCAGAAATCCCATTAATTGGATATGCCCTTTCTCTTCCACATATTTATGTCTCAGTCTCAAACTAGTAAGATTAATTTTTTCTGGAGGCCATTAAACTAAATTTTATGTAGCATTGCATTTTCTCTCCTTCAGTCATAAAATTTCTGTCAAGCTTGTTTTTAAAGGACCATTTCATTAATAAATTCAATTCACGAGGAAGTATGATACTCTGTTAAAGCTGATGATGGGTAAACCAAGAGTACGGTATTTTAGGATAGATCAACACTTTTTAGAAAGCATGATTTGATTCTATTTCATGATTAATTTTATAGGAAAATTCCACTTTGATGGAGTTATATTGCACACCTTTGTTTCTGTTGCATTCCCTGTGTGTTTAAGCACTTATAAATTTTCTGTGCATTACCAAACTTCGTTCATGTTACACTAGGATGCAAACAAGTGCTTAAAACTGGCTAATATAATCTCCCTGTAGAAACCAGGATTATCTCTTAAAAATTGAAGTAGTAAGTCACTGAACAAGTACTTAGTAAAAGAGAATGCTTGAAAAGCCAATAAGCATGTTAAAAGTTTTCAACATTATTATTTATCAAAGAAATGGAATTTAAAACCACATTGAAAGAACTTTAACCACCCAAGAGCTGGCATTTTCAAGTGTTGGACAAGGATGGAACCACCTCAGCTATCACACACTGCTGGTGGGATGTAAGGTAGTACAGTCACTCTGGAAAACTGTCAGCATTTACTCAAGTTCAGTGTATGCATACCCTACAACTCAGTAATTACAGTCAGGTATATGCTCAATAGAAATATGTGCACCCAAAGACGCATAAAAGAATGTTCAGCTCAGTTGCTCAGTCATGTCCAACTCTTTGTGAGACCCCATGGACGGCAGCACGCCAGACTTCCCTGTCCCTTCACCAACTCCCAGAGCCTGCTCAAACTCATGTCCATCTCGTCGGTGATGCCATCCAACCATCTCATCCTCTGTCATCCCTTCTCCTCCTGCCCTCGGTCTTTCCCAGCATCGGGGTCTTTTCCAATGAGGCGGTTCTTCCCATCAGGTGGCCAAAAAATGGCAACCCACTCCAGTACTCTTGCCTGGAGAATCCCATGGAGGGAGGAGCCTGGTAGGCTACAGTCCATGGGGTCGCAAAGAGTCGGACACGACTGGGCGACTTCACTTTCACTTTCATCAAGAGGCTGATTAGTTGTTCTTCCCTTTCTGCCGTAAGGGTGGTGTCATCTGTGTATCTGAGGTTCTTGATATTTCTCCCGTCAATCCATCCAGCCCTGCATTTCACCTGATGTGCTCTGCATATGTGTTAAATAAGCAGGGTGACAATATATAGCCTTGACATACTCCTTTCCCAATTTGGAACCAGTCTTATTGTTCCATGTCCAGTTCTAAATGTTATTTCTTGACCTGTTCATTGTAACTCAAACTTGGAAGCAATCCAAACCTCAACAATAGGATAGATGTATTGTTATTGCTATACACAGAAACATATATAGCAATGACCTTTAAAAAAAACTACTGCTAAATGCAACAATATGTGTAAATCTCATAATATTCAGCAGGAGAAACTCAAACACAACATTTTTTATGATTCTACTTATATAAAGCTCAATTATTGGAAAAACTAAGTCAGAATAGTAGTTGCCTTTAGTGGAGCTCAACACTGGAAAGGTGTAAGAGGGAGGCCTCAGAGGGAATTGGTAATGTTTTGTTTCTTGATCTGGGTGGTGGTTACTCAAGTTTGTTCACCCTTTAAATATCTATTGAGCTATGTACTATGATTTGTACATGTTAATTATGTTATACAATCTAAGTTCCTTAATGTAGCCTATAAGGCCCTGGAAAAGAGTCCTACCTAAATTTCCCATTTCTTATTAACTATTTCCTCCCTCCATTATCACACTTGAATTAGTGAGCTTTCATCAGTTCTAGACCGTATCTCTTTTCAATCTTAAGGCCCTTGGGCTTGCAGCTCTCTCTGCCTGGAATGCAT